TTTGGGGGAATCCAAGGAATCTGGAAAGTGCTTGAATTTTCTTGCATTCTTCCAATTCCTTAGACTTTTATTTAAGAGATACATTCCATGTAGTTGTGGCATTTGCCTTGAGTCCTGATTTTGGTAGCCTGTTGTCAAAGAAGGCAGGGAGCCTGACAGTTCCTACTGTGAAGGTAGGGCACACAGAAGATGGAAGTAATCACATCTCAACCCAATTACTGTTGCTCAACTGGTTAAGATCAGTGAGTTCAACAGAATGATGACGGGGTTGGGAATTTCTGTTTAACTCACTGTTGAGGGTAAGGGGAAGACAGGGTCATCCCTTCATGCCGGGAAATGTGCAAATATGGACTAATGGTTCCCAGCCTTACACAAAAGGGTCTCCTGGACCTCATTCATCTTATACAACTAACCACTAAAGCTGTTTCCAATAAATATTTCCTGTTTCCTCAACACATTTGTCTGTTGTTTGCTCAGAGAAAACCCGGCGTTAAAGCAGCATTGTATTTCCATTGTGCTTTTGGTTTCTGATGGCATTTTTGCCCAGTAGAGAATGTTTTTAAAAAATCATCTTCAGGGGCTGCCTGCTTGCTTAAGTGGTTCAATGGTGTTAAGCCGGGTCCGACTGACTTCAGCTCAGGTCATGATCTCATGTTCGGTTCAAGCCCGCAGCGCCAGGGGCTCCTATAGTATTGCAGCCAGAGTCCTGAGCTGATTTCAGGTCTGTGCTCCTCTCTCTCTCTGATACCCTCCCCCATTCATGCTCCGTCTCTCTCTGTCTCAAAAATAAATAAATAAGCTTACTAAAAAAATTTTTTTTTTTAAGATTCATCTTCAGAGGTGCTACTGGTGAAGTTGCAGTTAAGCATTCCAACTTGATTTTGGCTCAAGTCATGACCTCACAGTTCATGGGATCGAGCCCCGCAGCAGGTTCCACTCTGAGCATGGACTTCATATTTAGATTCCTTCTTTCTTTCTTTCCTCTTCTATGCTCCCCTTACTCACTCTCCTCTTCTCATTTCCCCCCCCCCCGTCTCTCTCTCTCTCTGTCTCAAAATAAATAAAAAACATTAAAAAAAATCATCCTCATAGTTGCATATATTGAAGGAAAAGTCATACCTTTAGAGCCAGTTAGAGACCTCTAAAAATGGGCATGAGAATTTAGTGACTGAAGTAATGCAATGTATACATGGTTTTAAGATTTTATTTATTTTTCTTTAATTTCTTTAACATTTAGTTATTTTTGAGAGACAGAGAGAGGCAGAGCATGAGCAGGGGAGGGGGAGAGAGAGAGATACAGAATCTGAAGCAGGCTCCAGGCTCTGAGCTGTTTGTTAGCACAGAGCCCGACGCGGGGCTTGAACTCATGAACGGCAACACCATGACCTGAACTGAAGTCGGATGCTCAACTGACTGAGCCACCCAGGCGCCCCAATGGTTCTAATATTTTAAATGTTGCTCAGTGTTACATATATATTTTTAAGGGAAGAACCTGCCTTGCTCATTTCTGTGAGTCCTAGTTCTGTCTCCACTGTGGCATTTGAATGTAAAGAAAACTCATTTTAAGAACTTATTTCTCTGCTTGTTTCCTCGTCTGTATAGAGATTTTAGTAATCCATGTTTTAGGATCAATGTGAAAAGTAAATGAATTAATATGCCTTTTAATGCTTAGACAGGGTCGTGCACATATGAAGCACTCAATAAAAGTAAGCCATTGAGGGGCGCCTGGGTGGCTCAGTTCGTTGAGCAACCAACTTCAGCTCAGGTCATGATCTCACAGTTCGTGAGTTCGAGTCCCACATCGGACTCTGTGCTGACAGCTCAGAGCCTGGAGCCTGCTTCACATTCTGTGTCTCCCTCTCTTTCTGCCCCTCCCCTGCTCATGCTCTGTCTCTGTCTCTCTCTTTAAAAAAAAAAATTAAAAAATAAAAAAGTTAGCCATTGACAGAATTGTCAGGAGGGAGGCATCTGGGAGGCAGCATTTGGGATAGACCTTGAAGGATGCGTGAAATTTGACACTGAGAACGAGGAAGATCATTTCATGCCGGGAAGTCACAGTGGTGTATGGGGAGATGAGCACTGAGTTTGCTTTCGCTGGGAGATAGAGTGAATAGAGAGAGCTGAAAAATCAAGCTGCATGCCTCCCGGAGAACTGGGGAAACCATGCAGAGGTGTTCAGACTTGATTTTCCAAGCAGCGGAGTTCTAGTGAAGTTAGAGAGAGACAAGATCAACACTATAGATTGGGAAGTGTGATGAGCCAGGATTCTCTCCTCTGAGAGAGGACAGAATTGGAGACGTGGCGCTTTAGTTGGGAGACAAGAGGGAAAGTTATGGACTGGATCAGGGGCGAAACCAGAAAGGGTGTTCTCTACTCGATTTGGATGTAGATATGTATTCACTTCACGTTAAATAAAATGAAAATACTGATTTTTTTTTTCCCAAATCAGCACTTACATCAGACTGTTACTATTTTCTCTCAATAATTGGAAAGGGGTGGGAGTGAAGTCCGTAACTATTTCATTTCTTAAAAAACCAGTGACAACTTTTTACAGTTTTTACAGTGTTCTAATTCTGATGCCTAGAGGAGCAGTGAGTTTTCAGTTGTTCTTCACCCAAGGGTTCACGAGTGGACATTCTTAAGTGGAAGCTAGATATGATACAGACTTTTCCTATTTCCCATGGTTTCACACCTGAAAGAAAGACACATTTTCGTCTAGTTTAGGGTAAGGAAGGAAGGTAAAGTACCTGGATCTCTGCAGTTCTTGAAAATACTGCTTTTTAGCCATTGTAAGCCTTTAACTAGATTATTTGCTGAAGAAGCAGAGCTTTGCCTGTTCACACCATTCCTTTCTAACCAAGTGGCCCTGAGAAGTGTGGCTATTTGGACACAGCTTTTTAGATGAATCTGTGGTCACGTGGGGGCTTTTCATTTCCTTGGTGGTAGGGAGTGAGTTAAGAGAATGACAAGATAGCAATAAGTATTTTAGGTTTCTGAAATCACTGGGGGCCTTAAATGAGCGATATGTTTGAGAACATCTGGTAATTTGTAAAGTATTATATAAATAAATATGAAGTCTTTTTAGAAAAATGCCTTGTATCTTACATGCCTCTTGGCAGGAAGCCATTGTAATAAGAAAATCAGAAACATGCTCTAAATAGGTAGCAATATTGGCCGGTGAAGTGTGTCTAATTCAGGCTTTTGTGCGTGTGCTGACCCAGTGTCATGTCTCAATGTAAGTCAGAAAAGAATGGATGTTGAGAATTTCTGGTTACTCACCACTTGTTGAGTAAAATATTAAGAGAGCAAGCACATTTACTTTTTAACAATCTGTTGTTCAGAGTCTAACAATCTGTTCAGTGGAAATACCTCTAAATAGTTAGGAAAAGCGAGTTATTTTTTTTTTATTTTTTTTAAACAAACACTTAGCTTTTTTTCTTTCCTTGTCTTCTTTGAACAGGGGTCACAGAGATAGAGGAAAAAAAGTTTCCTTCTTCTTTTAAATAAAACGTCGAGCTTTTATGTTTTTCCAGCAATACAGTTGTCTAGAAAGTGTTTATTTTATGATTTTATGTAAAGCTTCTTTAATCCCTTTCTGAGACAAGGTGTGGATATGAATACATGAAAAAAATGTTAACTACAGGTAATTCAAACTGGACAATTCTATATGTTCTTCTATTCTGAGCAAACATTGAGGTTCTTATATATGTATGTCACTTTTCCCTCCTGTCCTGAATTCACTCCTGAATCTCATGTTTAATAATGCTGCTTTCATCACTACGCTGAAGAGATTCATGAAAGTAAACTTGGCCATGTCATTTTTTTCCACTCAAGTGCCTTAATTGATTTAGTTTAGGTATTTATTGACTAACTCATCAGGAGATAGCAGGTTGTTTTTTGCTTTGGCGTGCTCTGTAAGGACATCCCTACTTGCTTTAAAGAATTTGAGTGTTCTAAATTGCCTTTCTTTAAAGGCCAAGGAATTCGTGAAATGATAGGAGAAAAACTGCTGTGAAACCGTAAAGTTACTAGACAAAAGTAAGATATGTATGCTTCTCCTACTATGGATTATCCGCCTCCCTCTGGCTCAGAGGAGAGATGCTTAATGAAGATTTGAATCTGGAATAAATTAATCAATGTTGAGGCATTTATAAATGAGTGAATCGCCTTACATAACTGAGTACTCTCATGGCCTGTGGAAGGCGGGAAGAAGAGTTGAAAGAATATTCTTTGTGCAAGCAGAGAAACTAATGAGTGTGCCCCAGACCTGCTCTGTGAGTCAGTTTTAACTGGATTGTAAGTACGTGCTTGAGTGAGTTTGAACACAGTGTGTCAGGTGCTCATGGGCTTTCTGTTTATCAATACTATCTACAAGATGTTAACCACAGGGAAGCAGAGCTTTATTAGGCATTTTGGCCTGCCAAGATTGTGGGATTTATGGACTTAATGCCCTCTGGGTCACCTGACAGCCTGGGTCTCTACTGCTGGATGCACCTAAAGGCACATTGCCTCAGCACCTGGACCTTCTCTGCACATCCCATTGTGGGGCAGAAGGTCTGTTCCATTGGGCAGGTTAGTTCTCTTCCAGGGTGTCACGTGTATTTGGTGGCTTTTTGTTGATGTGAAGAGTAAACCAGGTTAGACCATCTGGGCTTAAAATTATTTAATCCCTCTTAAAACTGCTCATTGTGCCCTGTTTTCCTACTGATTTGTAACCAGAACACAGGAGCAGCACAGAATAGTAACCTACTGTTAAGACCCCATTTTTATTTTTTAAGGAAAGTCAGGTTGTTATGTGCATTTTCTAAAGTCTGAAGAGATGCACAATAATTTAAATCATTTGAATTACGTGGCTTTTATGTATGTGTATATGTTTGTTTTGTTTATCCGTTGTCAATAGGCCTATTTTGCTTCTATAACAAAATCAGAGTTTGTTAAGGAAGAAAGCATGCTGAGGTCCACATGACTCACACTGCTGTCTTTCTTCTGTTCTATTACAGAAATTGAAGCCAAGGAAGCTTGTGATTGGCTACGGGCAACAGGTTTCCCCCAGTACGCACAGCTTTATGAAGGTGAGCGGGCAATGCCACTTTTTTTTAATTGGCGCAATCATATCCTTGGTTCATGATATTATTGATCTATGATTTAGTTTCAGACATTTTAGTGTTCATTAAAGTAGTTCATTAAGAAAACAGTGTAGCAAGTCATAAGACCCTCATCACTCAAAACAAAAGCTAGGACCATGATGATAATGCAACTAACATCTCCCCTTAGGTCCCTCTACTCCCCTTACCCAAAATAACGGTCATCCTGAAACTTCTATTTGTCATTTTCCTTTTGCACTTTCCTAATACATTTTTATAAAGTTGCTTTTACCCTTATAAAAAGGATATTATGCTCTATGTAATCTTGTAGGATTTAATTTTTTTCACTTACTAGTATATTGTTAAGATTCTTCTATACTGTGGGTCCCTCTAGGTCACTTGCTTTGACTGCTGTGTAAATAGCCCGTTGTGTGGGTAGACTGCAGTTTATTCACATTCACTCTCCAATTGGTGGGCATTTCAGCCTTTTCTGTTTTACTTTTATAAACTGTAGTCTTAGGAACATTCTTGTACATTGTAGTACTCTTGTGGTACATCTGCAGTAATCTGTCTTATCTGTAATATGCAGAAGCAGAATTATTAGGTGATGGAGAATACGTATGTTCGGTTTTACAGTGCAGATTTTTCAAATGTGCTTATACTGATTTTCACCCCTACCAGTAATTCTATAAAGATTCTGTCTGTTCACATGCTCTCAACACTTGATCTTGTCAGACTTTAATTTTTGCCAATCACGTGGATGTATTTTGACTTCAGTTTCCCTGAGCGTGAATGGTAATGTTCGTTTCTTCATGTCATCTGGCCATATGCATTTGCTCTTCTGTGAAATGTCTGTTCCCCATTTTTCTCGTGAGTTGATAGCACTTTTCATAATGATTTGTAAGAGCTCTTCATTCATTCTAGCAAGCTTCATTGGTCATGTGTTGCAGATATATTCCCCCAGGTTGTAATTAGGCTTTTCACTGTTGTTTAAGACTGTCATTTGGTGAATATTATTTTTTCTGTGGCGTTCACATTTTTAATTAAGAAAAATGGACCTTTAAAAAAAAAGAAGATGATGATCTAGGCTGGATTTTTACTCTTTCATTTTGTCACCAGTGCCCTTAGCGGTTACTGGGATGCTGCAGCCCAGGATGAAGGGCTCCTCAGGTGTGGCTCATCCTGAGCTTCCGGTGCCAGGTGTGGGTGGAGCGTACGTGCAGGTGGCGAAAGGAATAGGCTGTTCATTTACATGGGATTCTTATCATACTGTACATGTTATCATTTAAAAAGAATTACAGGGGCACCTGGGTGGCTCAGTCGGTTGAGCGTGTGACTTCGGCTCAGGTCATGATCTCGCGGCCTGTGAGTTCGGGCCCCGCGTCGGGCTCTGCGCTGACAGCTCGGAGCCTGGAGCCTGCTTCGGATTCTGTGTCTCTC